TGTCCAGTTAACATGCTCGTACTCAAGTTTCTGCTTGGAATAAACAAATTATGTGATCAGACTTACTAAGGCAGGTGATTACAAAATTTTCTCACGTATAGCTTCTGTCTTCAATAGTCAATATTGTTGGAAATATGGGAGAACATTAATTATTAGGTTGGGACATGACTAAGAGATTCTATATAAGGATAGATTAGGTCACAAAACATGTAACCCAAGATAAGAAAAAAAGATCGGAGTTAGGTTTTTACTAACACGTAACTTTAGGTCTTGTTATTGTCTTTGACAGATAACAATTGGACTTATAGTTGAGTAATATTAAAAGAGGAAACGTGATGCTTACTTGGTCAATATTTTGGCCGAAGCCACAAGGGGAACTGATCACACCGTTCATATTACTTTTAGAAAGGTCCATAATCAATATATTTTTATAATGATCTTAGATCAATCCTTATGACTTTAATTCAAGAAGTGGAATACTCACAATGACTTGATCCTTGCGTAAGAGTGATTGGTGCCAGAACTGCACAAAAGGCCCTCCCATACATAATTAGGAATACAGGGTTCACCTTACCAATCCAATTTGGAGATTTTGTATGTGGTTTTGATGTCCCAGATAGCATCCACTATTATTACAAATAATCAATATGTTGTGAGAAGTTAAAGCCAAAACGTTCACACACTGAAATGATGATATAAGATATAGCAGGAAACAATTCAACAAGGAAGAATACTGAACCGCATATATATATATATATACCGTCTCTTTGGTCTGTTGGGAAAGTTAGGGGTGATATTAATTTATAAAACTCGAGTGCGTTGAGGATTGGAGGAGCAGCAGATTCTGAGGTTGCGCTTATGCTGAAACGAAGACAACTTTGATCTGTAGCAGTAGAAACAGTCAGAGGCTTCAAGTATTCAAGAGTCATAGGCTTTGAGAGGAAGTTTTGATCGTTAACAGTTATATCGATTACTCTTTTCTGCTCATGGGGAAGCCGCTCAATTTCAGCAAAATGAAAGTAGACGAAATATGTAAAAGAATAATCAATTGGACCGCCCCAAGCGGAAACACAGTCAAAGTTCAAAGCAGAGGAGCTATTCGATGATTTGGATGCAGATAATAGCACTTGTGCTGGTAATCTATAAGAATCATCATTTGTGCTTTGGGGATCAATATCCACAGATCTATTGAACACATGCCAATCTGTCAAGTTCAAAGTGTTGTCCACGCGCCACGTACGATCATAGATGTCATCCACGTACCTATGTGCGCGCATTATTACATAATTGAATATCAGAATTGCTCCCACGTAAAAGCAGAGCATCAATAGTACAAGAAGCTAGAGAACATAAAAATTCGTAAGCGCTAAACAATGAAAATATGAAAACACAACATGTTATAGAATATGCATGATTGAAAGTAATGATTCAAACAGTTTTTTTTTTTCAAAACTTTTTCGGAAAAAACTACCCTGCAGAATTGTTGTAAGAACATAAAAATAGATAATAGTATCAAACAAGCCCTAAAAATTAGAGGTAACCTGATGTGTTCAATTTCTGTAGTGTTACTGACGTAGCCAACATCAACTCTTGCTTGAAGATCTAAAAGTGATTGAGAAGGGGAGGGAGTTGTATAAATAGAATTACTGAGAGGTCGTAGTTCCAATATAGAAATGAAAGGTATTCCTTTGCCTGACTTTACAAGGCAAACGTGTATGGTGTCGGTTGTAGGAGTATGGATGCTCTCCACAAAATTATAATTTATATCTGCTTCAATACTTGTCCAATGATTGACACCCAAGTACAAGTCAAAACTGGGAGTTTGATTTTTGCCATCATAATTTCCATATGAGAAGAAAGCTCGGATGAGGTAGCTTTGGTTTTTTCCCTGTTTTGGTTTTAGGGTGTAGCAATTCCTTCTCCCTTCGGGAAAACTTCTTAGTGTCTGCAGTTGTCTCCCAAAATAAGAAAAGTATACATCTTATCTTTTATCAGGCGCCACCATAAAATTAGACCCTGTCTCTACAAAACCTGTGTCTGTTTGATATGAAATCCCAGTTTGATGGTCAGTGTATTCATCGCTTGCTCCACAGTCAATGCTTATGAAATCTGTGTATAATATGGTACGTTAGTTTTGTGTTGAAGGTTGTTAACTAACTAGGGAAACATAGGTTTTGATAAAGGCAATAAGTCATTAGTAGTATTAAGGTTTGAACAGTGCGTTACATAATTACCCGAATGAGTGTTGCTAGTAGTGCCGCTGAGTCTCCTTCCACTGAGCATTGCGTCGTTAAGATTCAGGAAAAGTTGGATCAAGACAACCCATAAAATCCACTGTGGTCTCCTCTCCATGTGTGATCGATCTGCGTAGAATTATTCTGTGAAGACGTAATCTCTAGCTCGTGTTATTGTAATATAATAATGCATAAATAAAAGAATAATAGGAAAGTAGATGTGAACTGGCCTGAAGCTTGACGGGTCTGAAATTCAAGCCAAGATGCAAGAGAAGCGGTTTAAGCACTTTAGCAAAGTGGGATGTATTTATACAAGCAGGAAGTGGCGTTTTGGAGATGATGATGATGATGATGATGGTACAGGACTTGCTTTGGTTGATGATTACGGTAGCCACGCATGCAGCGTCGACTTGTTCCAAGTAAACGTAAAAATTTATGGCTGACAAGCTGGATCGTCGAATTATTCAGCCAACACAAACACAGTGTCATTAGCTAGAGACCGCTTTGTGGTCCTTCATAATTGACTCCTGTGGCTTTCCTCTTTTGAATAGTCGCTGGCCGGCTTCAATGGCGCAAGCTTGACACTAGTAAGTTTCGAATGGACTCGGATTATTTTCTCTAGTCGATAAAATCTGGATCCTTGATCCTTACGGGGAACGACGGGATTCGAAATTTTTGTTCTGGTGTTCTTCTATAAGTAGAAAAGTGTAAGTCTTTCACCACTTGGAAGCTAATATTGACATAGATTAAGGTGCAAATTTGTTTCGAGAGAAGCGCTAAGCAGTCAGAAGTTTTTTTAGGTTCAATGTTATCCCGAAAATTTAAAATTATAGTATTTTTGTCTCTTAACTTTAAAATACTAATATTGACCATTAAAATAGTGATATTGATGACCACCATTAATATTTTTAACAGTATGTGGCAAAATTATTACAATTTTAAATTAACAGGGTAATATTAAACCTAAAAAAAAAAAACTTATAGACACTTAGTGTTTTTAAGTAAAAACTTTCTAAACAAATTTATACTCTGGTCTCTTTACTCCCAATGTTATTCTTGTCATGAAACAAAAGAAAATGTATAATAAAATACTAATGGTTTTAAATTAATACGAAAATTTTTCATGGAAAAAATGAAACATATTGTTTGTGTTGTGAGTCTCCATATTGCCACAGCTTTTCGAGTTAGTTTTAAAATTTGAACTATAGGTTTTCTATTTTTCTTTCTTTGGTTTTCTTTTTTCTTTTTCTGTCTGATCTTTTATAGTTTTTGCCAACAACTAAGTTTTCAAGTATACATGAATGTATGGTCTGTGTTAGCCCAATGTTTCAGATACCGCAAAGACTTGGTGGTGTTCTGCGACAGTTTTAGTATGAGTGAGCTACTTTGTGTTGTCAATATACCCAAGGAAAAAGATTGCTAAGATTTCAATTGTTAGCATATTATTTTTCCTGATACATGAAGTCTCATCACATCAAATAAAGTTCAGTTTATTAAGATTGTGGTCTTTTATTAATTTGTCGGCGCCTGTGAGTTAAATTATCCCTAAAACTTGAGGAGATATGTTGTACGTTGGTAATAACTAGTACAGACATCAACCAGTGCACCTATTATTCTTATAATAGAAAAAGCTAATCATTCAAAACCTTGTGCAATTCATTGTTTAAGTTTAATAGAACCAGGGGGGGGACAAAGAACCATTTACCTCTCTCCAGCTAGCTCCTTCACTTTGACGTGATCAAAGGAAATGAATAAGCCCAAGCGTACTTATGGAGCTCTCGAGAAAGTTGGGAGGAAAGGAGTCGTGTGATAAAACACAAGAGACAAATTGACTTGACAGTTCAAAGTTTGATTTGATCTTCTGCAACTTTGTGGGATCACTTAAGTTTTTGTATTTATAGCTATGAAGTTGACAAGCAAAGTCATGTTCCTCTGTATTAGAGTTTGCATTAATCATGCATATTTAAACACTTACATCAAAATGGCTTGAGTTACTTTGGAAAGATTCATCGTGCACCATTATATATAGATGTTATTGAGAAGATGACAGACACTAATTAAGCTCAGTTTCATCTTCCGAGACAATTATTAATACTACTAAATCAAAACATGGTACAAGTAAATCTTCTTCGTCTCCCCACTCCTTATAAATCATTTTCCAATCTAGTTAGTGAATTACATTATCATTTTAAAGCATTAATTATCACTATGCCACTAGTTACTATTGATCATGATGTCTCATATAAGCAAAGTGTTCACATGCTGGAGGCTCCAAGTGGAAGTGCTGAAGAAGTCTGAATGTCATATTCATGGACGGACCCAAGTAACATATCTATCTCTAGGCCCAACTACAAATTTAAACAAGCACATGTAAATCACCAACAATGATGGGTCTAACAGAAGAGGCTAGCTCTTCGTAACATGGCAAACAAATATTCAAATTCCTATGAGGAGAGTTGCCCCTATTTAGTGCCCGATAGTATCTCAAATAGGATTGTTTTTAATAGGAGAATATCTATGCTTAGCCAAATAATAATAATAATAATAATTTTATTAACTTAGCTTTAAGATTGAGTACTTTTTAAATAATAATAATAAATATGAACTGCTTTGATAAGAGCTAATTAAATTGCTCTAACTATTGACTCGGCAGCTTGTGGCCAATGTTTAATTTAGGTATAACCCGGACGTCAAGGAATGCTCTGTTTTTTTTTTCTTCCTTGAAAAAAAAAAGATTGAAATCAAATCTACAGATACTGTTTATAATCCAATAAGTTCAACAACCAAAGTAAAATTCGTAAATACATAATAGAGAAACACAAAAAGGATCGACACTGAAGAGGAAGACAAAGCACAGAGACACCAGCAATAGCAAGAAGAAGAACCACGGTTTGAACCAAGCATACTAACAATACAAATACGACATGTCATTCAACTTTGAACGTGCTGATAATGTGATAATGGTCCACAGCTTCATCAATTTGAAGAGAAAGTAATCTCAAATTCTACCGAGCATGAGGAATAAGCCCTGAATCAGACCCCACAGAAGCCATTTCCAAATCAATGGTTGAATTCCACCCCATACTTTTGGTCAGAGCCAAACACTCCTTTAGTTCAGCTACTACGTGGCTTATGTCAGGCCTTTCAACTCCAGATGCTGAAGTGCAACACATAGCTATCTCTAATAATTTCCAAGCTGAATTAGTGCTGTAATTTCCTTCTAACTTTGGATCTATGATAGATTGGATATCCCCCATTTCAAGTTTAGGGGTAACCCAAGTAAGAATGTAATGAACTGTGCCAAGTTCTCTTTTTAGCACTGGTTGACCTGTGACTAGCTCAAGTAAAATTATTCCAAAGCTATAAACATCACTCTTTTTGGTCAAGTTTCCAGAACTTTGGAATCTGTGAAAATAACCAGTTGTCAGATCTCATGACAAAAATACTTGTTTTAAACAACCATTCCAATTTTTAATCAATTAGGACATATTTTGAGCTTTGAGTGAGCAATATTACATGGAAATTGACCCTCAAGGAATCTAATTATTGAGAAACCAAATGTTCGAGCAGGGCAAACTAATTTCAGGCCAAATAACATGAGGGTGGATTGCAAGTTATCATATTCGTTTGTTAGAATGACTTACTCAGGATCAAGGTAACCCGGTGTGCCAGCAGGACAAGTTGTTACATGACTATCAACATCATTTGCAAAAGCTCGAGATAATCCAAAGTCAGAAATCTTGGCTTGCATGTTTTCATCTAGTAAAATGTTGGACGTCTTTAAGTCTCTATGAACTACTGGTGGCTTGCAACCATTATGCAAATAATCCAATCCTACATTTCCATATAGCAGTCAAGTATATTATATTCTATTAAAACCAACATGATGGAAAACAAAACGTGCAGAAAAAAGGGGACAAATCTTTGTAGTAAAAATCTAATATGGTTTCCCCTACCATGTGCAGCATCCAATGCAACTTGAAGCCTCTCATTCCATTTCAAAACACTGGGGTTCTCTTCTGCATGATGAACATAAATAAAATTTTAACTTTTCCTTTTAAAATTGGGCAATTTGGGACTATATATAAGCAATTCTAGGCAGTTGGCTACATACTTGATAAATGTTGTTGAAGATTGCCATTAGCCATATATTCATAAATTAATGCCCTCACAGCGCCTTCTTCACAGTATCCAATCAGACAAACCAAGTGTCTATGATGAATAACCATTAAGAGTTCCACCTACAATCGAAATTGGACTTTATTTAGTGTTTAAGAATGAACTGATATTCATTATGTCAATTTTTATAGATGTCACTCAGCAATAGGAATTCCATTATATTTTCCAAAAAGGAAAACTTATAGCTTGGCTTGATTGATCCTAACCTCTGATCGGAATTCTCTGAAACCTTGCATTGATGATTGAGAAAGTAACTTCACAGCAACATGAACATTATTCTCCAGAGTGCCATAATAAACCTTTCCAAATCCTCCTTCTCCAATTAAGTTTTTCAAATTATCAGTGATTCTAAGTATTATGGAGTATGAAACTGCCTTGGTTTTTAGTTGTAACGCTTCTTCATTTGTAGAAACAGAGAAAAGCACTGCAATATTAGTAAAAATAATTAGAACTAAGCGGTCATCTGGATAACTGGAAGACAAAAAGATTGCCAGCAAATTATATGGAGAGAGAATGCCAAAAACTTGGCCATGAAATCTCAAATATTTCCATACTAATTCAGAATGATATAATATATGAATTAGATAACTATTTTAGGGCTATAGACATTGAGAGTTGTAGCATAAAACAGAGTAGGACTATATAAGGAAATTGATAATGGACATACTCTAATGCTTAATCACAAGTGATGAGCATATTTTCATATATACCTTTCAATTTCTTGATTCTGAAGATCCATATTCCTAGACAAACCAAGAGGCTTGCAACTAAAGCAGAAACAGAAGCAACAAGTGGAATGACAAAGTTCTGCTTTTTGCATGAATCCACCAGGCAAAGTCCAGGATTATCCTCCAAACTATGGGACAAGTTGTATCATTGTTAATTTTGATTCACATAAGAGCAGTCATCAATGAACAAGTAGCATTATATAAAAATGAAAAACCTCATTAGCAAATCTGCCTTTTCATTAAGAGCCTTAGGAATGGAACCTATAAGCTTGTTGCCAGTCAGGTTACTGCAAAAGCATTGTGAAATATATTCACTAAGTATATGACATTAAAGTTATTGAATAAGATATTACTCTCTGAAAGAGTCATAAATAATTCAAAACTTACAGGACTTTCAATTTTGGTAGGTCAGCCAAAAATTCAGGTACTGATCCCGACAAGTCATTAAATGACAAATCTCTAAAACAAAGCAATATATTTTACATGTTAATTAAACTTTCCCACTAACAATATGTCATAAATCACTATATACACAGGCTTACAAGGATTCCAACTCTGTAAGTTGTATAAATGAGGTAGTTATTTGCCCTGCCAGTTTGGTCGTGCTTAGGTTCCTGCTTGAGAGAATCATGCTTTGGATGCTTAGTTATAAACTTTGATGTCAATTAAGATAAAGTGATATCTGAACTTTTGGTATTTATAGCTTAATAGTTTTACTCTTGGGATGCTTAACTGCATAAATTTTACATTTAAGTATCAAACTAAGAAGCCGTTAAAAATGCTTATAATTTAATATAAACTAGGGCAATCCATATAGATCCAATGACATTAAATTAATCGAGATATAAGTGACTTACACTGAGACGATCCTAGCATTTTTACCATTGATACCAGAACGGCAGCTTAGTCTATCCCAAGCAAGTTTTGGAACACATGGGTCTCCTTGCCAATCTAAATTGGAGATCTTGTACGTGTCTTTGATTTCCATGATAGCATTTACTAATATTACCAATTTAAGCAAGATCTCAAAGGTCAATTCCCAAGCAAAAAAATAAACAAGCACACACATGATTATTGGAACTTTAGGGAACAATTGAACAAGGAATAAAAACATTCTGTACCGTCTCTTTCATCAGTTGGGGATGATATTGGCGATATCAGTTGATAAATCTCAAAAGCATTGAGGATTGGAGGAGCATCAGATTCAGATGCTGCACTAATATTAAAACGGACATTGCCTAGAATTGCATTTTGAGGAACAACGGTTTGTGGCTTCAAGTATTCAAGAATTACAGGCTGCAAAATGTTTTCACCATCAAGAGTAATATTGATTATTCTTTTTTGCCCCTGGGGAAGCTTCTGAATTTCTAAAAAGTGAAAGTAGACATAATAATCGGACGACCCGTCAAGGTTTTTCCACACAAAGTCATAGTCAAATGTTATTGGGTAGGAGATATTGGATGCTCGCGCTGCAGATTTCAATACTTGTGCTGGTAATTTATAAGAATCGTTCGTTCTTGCAGGATCAATATCTATATCTCCTTTGATCCAGTTCTGAGAGTCGAGTTTGAGCCATAAACGATCATAGATGTCATCCTTGTACCTGTACTTGCATCATTCATGAGGCATAAAATATTACTCATTATCAATATTAATGAAGTACACCTCTTTGCGTTGCAAATATAGTTCCTAAGGAGAGCGACACATGTATAAGACCACCAAAACATATAAATGAATTTGAAGGACCGTGAATTTGTTAAATATTATAGAAGCACAGAGGTTAAAAATAAAATTATATAAATGCACAAAAATGTGTTTATACATCATTTAGGAAACTTAAGTTAACTGCGAATCTCTAGTTATTTGTTACATGTAAATTTTTTCAAACTTCATGCCAAAAACATGCGAAGGAGTTTCTTACACTTTACACGTTTGAAAGACAAAGTTTATTGCTGGATGCCGAAAATTGCGAAGGGAGAAATGTTTGCCCCCCAGACTATTTAATTCTACTGCTAAACTTATTAATCTGATCTGACGTCATAACTCATAAAAACTTATCTCACCAATACGTGATAAGCAAAATAAAAAGAACAAAAAGAAACAAGTTTGGGATCGTGGAAATTACGTACAAACGTGAAGAGAAAAGGAGGGGAGAAAACGAAATCACCTGCTGCGTGTGGCAGAACTAGTAGAGGCAACATCGAATCTTCCTTGATTGATTAAAATTGATTGAGAAGGTGAAGATGTTTGATAAATAGCATCGCTGAGAGGTCGAAGCTCCAATGCAGAAATGAAAGGTACTCCCACAACAGTTTTTACAAGGCACACATGTACTGTGTCTGTTGTGGGGGTATGAATAATCTCAGTAATGTGATAACCATCATTGTTATTTCCAACGTAAACAGTGTCCCAATGATTGACGCCAAGGTACAAGTCGAAGATTGGAGTTTGATTTTTACCATCATAGTTTCCATAAGCAAAGTAAGCTCTGATGAGATAAGTATGGTTCTTGCCTTGTTTTGGTTTGAGGCTATAGCAATTCCTTTTTCCTTCTGGGAAGCTTCTCAACGTGCTTAGAAGTCCCCCAAAATAAGGATAATCAAGGTTAACAGTTGGGAGAACAGTAGAATTTGTACCAGTTTCTACAAACTTTGTATCTGTCTGATACCATATGCCCGTGTCCTTGTCTACGTAATCATGAGTGGCTCCACAATCAATGCTTATGAATCCTAACGCAGGATTAGTTGTAAAAATCAGATATTAGATGAAGGCATGTGAATATAACTTCACTGAAATAATCACTATGCAAAACACATTAGGTAGCTTACCAGGATTGGTGTCATTGTTGGTGGTGAGTTTCCTTCCATCTCCCATCGTGTTGCCAACATGAAGGAGCAGTTGGATGAGAACAAGACATAAGCCTAAGCACAGATTCAACTTTGGCGCCCTTTCCATGGGATCTGTTGCTTTCTGTCTGCCTGTGGAAGCTAATTCGGGAGCATTTGTTACTACTTATGTTCTCTTTATAGAAAGATAAAAACATATATAGAAGATTATAGGTATTGAACAAAGTCAATGGTGCAAATGCATGGAAAAAGCAAGCCAAAAACGGGTCCTATATATATTTACTTTCAGTTGACCGAACAGAATAATAATAATAATACTGTTGTTAATCTTCCAAGCCAAAAAATCTGCATCGTCCTTGTGGATGGAGCTAATAGCGTACAAATTGCGCTCTGAAGGACGACCATTTCCAATTGTACAAGAGTGAATTATGTGCTAGTCTCGTCGCTTGGGTCGTTACGAGTTTTTCAACTCCCATCCCAAAAGTCCTAATTCCTACGCGTTTTTGCCATACTCGAAGACGACGTTTACTTGACCCGTGCAAATTCATTGTTTCGATTTCGCTTGGTGAATTATATTCAACAGCTAGGCGTTGTTCTCACACCAAGTACGATGGTTCTTTTGGAATAATGCCACTTCACTTTGCCTTGCTCATAACGTTAACCATACATGCATATAGTAGTATATATATCGTTGACTCGAGCCGACAAAGCAGTTTGTAGTCTTTTTCATTTTCTTTTACCAAGAATATATTAGACACATTTTTTCATATATTGTACAAAATATTGAAAAGAAACACTAAGCCTCAGGTGGCCACATTTCATACGCACCATGCCAAAAGTAAACATGAAGATGAAGATTAGCATGGTTCAGCTTTAGGAACACTCAAAAACAAGTAGAGGGGAACATATTGATGTTAAGGCATATTTTGATATTAACAAACGTTCAAGGATACTCTGTTTACCTTTTTTTTTTTTTTTGTTGGGACAAAAATCAGAGGTAAACATGTACACTGTGCTTTTACTGAGGAAACTAGAAAGCAGTAGATTAAAAATATAATACCATGCTTTATCACTTCTCCACCAAGCGCAAATCATAATAATGATAAAAATAGTTACGGCAACCATATTAACCTGACCATATTAATATTGATAGTTTATAATGTTAGTTTATTCGGGATTCTTACTCAGGATGGTTTCCGGAAAATAGGAACCCAGAAGATGGAGACGTGGGGAAGAGCAGATTAGAAGAATGGCAATTAAAAGCGGAAGGAAATCATAATCCATACGGCACGACGGACATTAAAATAAAAGCATCACTAGGAGGTCTCAGTCCATGTTTGAGACTATTCAATGTTAGTACCGCTACTTGCTTTGCAAGAAGTTTATGAATTTAATGTTTTATATTATTATCATATCGTTACATGCATTTTACATTGCCAAATTAATTGACGGAGGTTTTTGAAAAGACCTTGAGCAAATTTCCAACCTCAAAATTCACAATTCCCTATTTCCATTGCATTTAATAACAAAATGCCAAGATCATGATGAGACATAATTAATGCCAACTGGGCAACATGCAGACGTAGTCAACCTTTCCATGAATGATGAAACAAGTCAAACAACCAAGATTACTCCTTAAATGCAAATATTAACCTCGTCTAGTCTGTTAGTTTGTACGCAGATTCACTGCCGACAAGACAAGGAGATGGTCAAGATGGCAAATTGCTTTGCCGAACAATTCATGAAGTACTTTGTAGTCCATCGTACATGTTACTATGCTTTTAAAATAAAAATGATTAATTGTATATCGTTTATGAGAGAGTCAAATCATATTGAGATAAAACTGTATAAAATCTAAGAAAGACTTGGAGCTCTACTATACTCTATGGTCCTGCATTTGCATTTAATAATGAGTAAGAAATCAAAATTTAACGGCCATGGCATGCAAGTTGATGATCAAGTGGATCAAAGCAGTGTTCAATGTACCAAGATTTATTGGAGCTCTACCGTTATCACATGGTTCTGCCTTTTTATTGAATGAGTTCACCTAATTTGGTTCTGACTTGGTCCTTTCTAATCAATGTGTAGCCTTCTTTGATATTATTTATATTCCTTCATTTGCTGCTACTGAAAGAAGTACTAATTATTATCCATTTCAGGAGACTTTCGTCTCCACATTTCATTTAGAAAACATGAAGAGGAAGAGCACACCACCTTGGATTCTTGCTCTGTATATGTTTGCTTCATTCGTCATTGTTTGCCACTCATCAGCACAGGCTGCTGCAGACAATGGTGATAATTCATCAGGCAAGCACTTCGCCAGCTTTTCAATTTTCTTTTCACTTACATGCAATTTCGTTCAATATGTGTGTGTGTGTATTTATGATGCTCGCTCGACTTAAGTCTTGATTAGTTGGTTTTGTTCCATTCTTTATGTAAGCCTCAAACACTCTAAGCCTTTGCGGAAAAGCTTCTGTATAATTCTTGGTACTAATGATGAAACCATCGTCTTGAAGAGCCATGTGCAGAGATTTACCAGTATCTTGAATCTTAACTGAAGTTTGAGCTTGAGAGAAGAGAGAAATACAACAAAGATCCGTAATAGTTCTGTCCAAATCACTTAACCTACATCTGCCGCCTAAGATTGCCACTTAGAATTTCAACTAATCTCCAAATATAGTCAATTCTCAATTATACTAAAGATATATTTGAATATGAGTTCGAAAATGTTGAAAAAAATAACCTCTTAAAGTTTTCAAACAAATTATACAACATAAAGAAACCTATTCCAAGTTCGCATTAATATAGTCAATATTAACAGAAGAGTCATTAAACCAAGTAGTTGGAGCATATTAACTTAATTAAAGTGAAGTCCAAGTAATTTACCCCACCTCAGTTCATGACTTCACTTAAACTAACCAGTCTTCTTATTGTCTCATCTTAAAGGCTGAATATCAGGCTTTAACCAATACCGCCAAATTCAATGGCTTCTTTATTTGCTTTCTGATTTGCATGGGACACATCCTCAACCAGCTTGCTCTAATATGATTACCAATCTGCCTTAAAGACTGCAGCCAATCCCACTGTTCATGAAATATTTAGATTGATTGCAATCTAATGAAGGATAAAGTTCTAGCCATCCACTTGATGCCTCTTTCGTCTGCTGCACCATTAGCTGATATGTCTACCAAGCAGTTGGCTCTATCCCTTTCACAATAAATGTTTCCCTGACTGAGGGGTAACAGGTTATTTAGTTTATTAACGTTTTATGCCAGTTAGTTACTCAGTTAACAATATAAGTATTGACTCAGCTTATAAAGTACTCAACTTGAGCAATAATAATACTAAAATTTGCTTCATGTGCAGATATGATAAGCATAGATTGTGGAGCAAGCACGGATTACGTGGATGAAACAACAGGGATTTGGTATCAAGCAGACAAAGACTTCATAGAAACTGGAATCGGTAATGGAATCTCGCCGGCTCTCAAATACCAATTCGACAAAGCATACAAAGGACGACAGCTTGAAACAGTACGAAGCTTTCCGGAGGGAGACAGAAACTGTTACACTCTAAAACCAAAGCAACGCCAAAACAAAGACAACAACAACTACAATTATCTTATTAGAGCTGTGTTTGCATATGGCAATTATGACAACAAAAACCAACCTCCTTCCTTTGGCCTTTACTTTGGTTCTAACTTTTGGGACACCGTTCGAGTCCCTAATGGAAGTTTCTGCCAATACTACGAGATTATACATCCTCCTATCGACATAATACAAGTGTGTCTTGTTAACACTGGACAAGGCATTCCTTTTATTTCTGCTTTGGAGTTGAGGCCCTTGAATCACACTCTCTATTCCATTTCTCTTCCCCTCTCTCTTCAGGTCCGCATTGACGTTGGCACTGGCCGCCTCCCAATTCTTACCAGGTAATATTCTTTCCCTTTTGCTACATATATTGCTGAGACTAAATTTAAACATAACCCCCTCGAACTTTTGTATCTATTGATGTTTATGATGGAAATTTAATAGTATGGGATATTAAGTTACATTACGTAATAATGTAGTAACTAATGCTTCAAGTTATTTTAGAATTATTTAATTAATTATTTGTAGAATAAGTCAAAAGAGTCCCATCTAAATTGGCTTGCTTCCTAAGTCAAAAGTGTCTTATCTAACAGTGGCCGCCTCCCTAAGTCAAATTTTCTTATTTCCCAAGTTAGTACACCTATATAAAAGCATCACTGTAGTTAATAAAAAGTGTGATCTTTCTGCCTTATGAATTGAACTATTTATTGTTTATGATTCCTCTTTCTCCAACAGTTTAAGTGGACTAGTTCTCTCTCTCTCCCCTTAACAGCTAACTTTTAGGATAAGATCATCCATCCCACTTAGGTGCCCTTGATATGAGAGCTAACAAACAAGTTAATAGCAACTTGTCTCTTGTAATTGCAGAGATAATAACTGTTACTCATAACACAGGTATCAAGACGATGTGTACGATCGAGTGTGGCTGTTGTATGATTTTGACACATATTATCGTTTAAACACGTCAGCAGAAATAAGAGCACAAGATTCCAGTTATAAGCTGTCGTCAGAATTATTAAGCACAGCAGCACAGCCGCGTAATAGTTCCATCCCCTTAGCATTGAATTGGATTTATGATGCATCTTTCCAATATTACGTGCTCCTCCACTTCGCCGAAATTCAAAAGCTTCCCCCTCATCACAGAAGAATTATCAATGTCACTTTTGATGACATAAACTTCATCTCTCAGCCTCTTGAATACTTGAAGCCTGTCACTATAAGTTCCAAGATGGCAAGTAATAACGGTAATGTTCGTTTCACAATCAGGGCAGCTTCTGAATCTGACGCTCCTCCCATCCTCAATGCCTTTGAAATATACAGATACACCCCACTGCCAAATTCACCAACAAATGCAGAAGATGGTAAAGCCTAATGCTTATAAATTTGTAATTAGATGTGTTTATGGAAATTTCTCAACAGGGTTGTTTTGTTTCTTATTGGAAATTGTATACACAGTTAATGCTATCATGGAAATCAAACGTACATATGGAATTTCTAGAATCACTTGGCAAGGTGACCCATGTATTCCAT